AGTCTGTAGCAAAACAAGCAACAGAAACACTCCAGCCCTCAGCCTCAGGTCCTACCTAGTAGCATACTGCACTGCCTTCTGTTAGCACTTTACAGGACGTAGTCTTCATTTGTTTTCAAGAAACTGATGTGGCTGAGCAAATCTAGCTGTGTGCATCGGTGAGGTGCTATTACCATTCTTTAGCCTTGTTTTCTACCTCTCTGAAGCTTATTGTGGATGGGTCCACTGTGCACCAGACATTTTGGGATCCTTCACTATATATCCCAGTGATTTGCTAAGGATAGAAATTGGACACTAATTACCAGGATCACACTTTTCCTTTCATGAAGACTGGCACCAAAATCACTTCATTACACCACCTTCCAAATTCTCCGGGACTTTGATCCGATTGTTCCAGATTCCTTTATGAAGGCCAACTGATTCATATACAGTACAACCTCAGAGTCATAAACACCAGAGTTACAAGTTGACCGGTCAACCACACACACCTCATTTAAAACTGGAAACATCCAATCAGGCAGCAACAGGGACAGAAAAACAAACAGCACAGTGTTAAATGTAAACTGCTAAAAAATAAAGGGAAAGTTTAAAAAAGATTCAACAAGATAAGGAAACTGTTCCTGTGCTTACTTCATTTAAATTAAGATGGTTAAAGCAGCATTTGTCTTCTGCATAGTGAAGTTTCAAATCTGTATTAAGTCAATGCTCAGTTGTAAACTTTTAAAAGACCACACGTAATATTTTGTTCAGAGTTACAAACACACTCCATTCCCAAGACGTTTGTAATTGAGGTTCTATTGTAGATCTCTGCTGATAGTGGACCCGTGCGTGTCTATTTTTAATATGCAGCTAAGAACCATTAGTTAACAATACCTGCAGGCATAAAAGTGTTTGAGCTACAAACACACTGTATTTAACAAGCTGAAGTAAACACTTGGATAGGACCGGCCTACAAAAATGTGCATGAAATGCCTTGGTGATGCCTTTAGAGGTCTCTCTGGTCAGCATCAGTAATCAGCTTGATGGCTGGGCACAGAAGATGGGGCAGCTACATTATCTTCAATGATAGGTAAGAAATTGCTGGTTTTCCCTAAGTGAAACTAAGGTAAAGTATCTGCTATTTCACTTATCCTAAGTTGTTGTTTGTGTTCACTGGGCATTGACCAGCTGCCATACCTCATTCTACAAGAAGGGCTCCTAGTGATGTTCCAGGCAGTAAAATGTTCCTCAGGCCATGTCTTCACTACAAACTTCTGCCAGCATCGCTATGTGGGTCAGCAGTGTAATCTCTGACTTGCATAACTGTGCGGGAAGCAGCCCCTTATACTGGCAAAGCTACACTTTTGCAAGTACCTTTTATGCTCAGGCCCTTGAGTGAAATGAACTATATGACCAAAAGCAGTTTTGGCAGTATAATCTGTATCCACACGAGGAGCATATAATGTATCTGTATACATATCCCAAGCACTCAGTGTAGACATGGCCTAAGGCACAGATTCAGTTCCCTTGTAAACTGATCTTCAGCAAATTCTAGGCCCACAAAAAGATGAGCTGGTGCACTGATCTGTTACATACACGCAGTCCTCAGGAAAAGACCATCTTTAAACAGGAAATCTAAAATGAGAAGAGTGCCTTGTTAACTCTTTAGGCCCTGAGGCGTTGGTAATAAAACATATGGTCAAGATTATTAGACAAAGCAAAGCAAGCAGCTCAACATAGATGTGGCAATAACTTTGAAATACTTTAACCAGGGTCACAGCATTATAATTTCTTTTTACATCAAACTTATTTTTTAATGGAAACCATTTTATTCTGCAGTAGTTTAATTCCTTCAAAAATATATCTGATGAAAATTAGATCTGTGATGTTAGATTTAGATCTTGCCACAGCATTTCTGAAGTTAAGGATCTGGGATATTCTTTATAAATGAAAATTCAAGGGCTTTGGAGCTAAAGTTGATACATAGTGTATATATACGCAAAAAGACAAAGTTTTGTCATCCCCCCCGCCCTTTTCAGCACATAACTGAGGTCGGAAATCTTTCCCTTCCATCCACCCTATCCAAAGCATTACTGACCAATTTGCAACTGGAAATTTGCTATGGCCATCAAGAGCTTTACAACTGCAGTTTTCATACAAATCTAAAAACAATCCAGCAGATCTTTAAATAGAAATAAATCTTTGGACACATTCTTTTAATGAAAGGACAATTTACTTTAAGAATCAAGTCATATACAGGAAACTGAGATTAAGTGTAGGAAAAATCAACTGATTATATATACATGGTGCAATTTCCGTTGGGACATAAACACAGGGCTTCTTCAACGGGAGATATAATAGGGCATGGTTATCACTTGGTTTTAGGAGATTAAATATTAGGGCTGGTTTTCAATTAGGTGGCAATGACTTGTTAAATGCGACATCAATGTAGGAAAAATATCTAGCGAAAGTATAACTATCTCCTTCATAACAATAGCCCTTCTAAATAAAATGTAAAATTATGATGCTCCAAGCAGATAAAGTGCTTCATTAAAGAGCATTTTTAAATTTTTTGCAGATTCTTTGTTCAATTGCTTTGCGAGTAATGGAAGTCCATATTTATTTATTCCTGGAGGTTGCTGCTCTGTTGGCTCTTGAAGCAACCCCTTGTATCCCTCAGTCAGTGGGGATTCAAAGCTTGGTCCCTGCCCTCAGGCAAAACATATGTTCCACTCTAACCTGATTCCACCAAGGGTGTTTGGAATGGAATAATTGTTTTATGTTTATTAATCACCTGCATGCAGATGGGTGCCAATAAAAAAACCCTAAAACCTCAAGGCAGATCCTTTGCCAGGCATATCAGGCCATTTATGGCATTACCACCACACCCATATGTTGGTGTCCATTAAAACAGAGAGCCTCCAATGAGGGGATAGACAGACTTTTTCTATTTTATATGCAGTGATGAAAACATCATACCAGCTCAGCCAATCTCTTATGATGTCTTCTAAAACAAACAGGAAACATGCAAAAACATTCAAGATTGGTGGTAGAATAAATTAGAGATGCTGCTTACTAAAAGCTAAAAAAGACATTAATGCAACACAGGAAGGGTGAGATTTCAAACACTGAAAAGTCAGAACATTCAAGTTAAAGTTCCTCCTATCAGGTTAAATGTGACCTGCCAAGAGAAAAATAATTCTGTTGAGGTCTTGTTTGTTTATGATGTACAAAGTCTGAAACTTTTTTAAAAATTCTGAGTAATGTCCTGCTCAAGATTGTTTCAGAAAAGTCTGAGACACTGGCTTAAAACTAAAAGCCACTGCTGCCTTAACTATAGTAAAAACAGCTGATAAATAAGTACAGGCCAGCAAAGCCCAATGGAACCAGAAGTCAATAATAACTATAACTAAGGAAGCAAAGAAAGGAAGAATTGTTTCCTTATTAAGGCACTGGACTGGGACCCAACTCTGCCACAGACTCCCTGGGTAACCATGGATAAGTCTCAAGTTCTCTATACATAAGATGAGGATTTAATACTCCCTCTGTTGTTTATTTAGATTGAACTCTTTGAATCCCTGCCCCCATGTGAAATCCTAGCCCCCAGTAAAGTGATTGGGGGTTTTGCCATTGACTTCAATAGAGTCAGAATTTCACCCAAAGCATCTGTATAGCTCTCACGATGAAGCCCTAGTCTCAGGTGTGGGGTCTCAGTCATACTGGAAATACAAATATGTTCAGAAAAGGGCACTTCTGTAAATCAAGAATGCTCTGCAAGTTAAGATGGCCAAGTCTAACTTGGCCTTCTGTAAGAAGGATCAAGTAACTGTATGTGGAAACTAGACCATGCTGAAAATACTACCCACTGTAAACAATTTTTCACATACCTGATCATTTCTGATCAAAAGCACACATCTCACATGTCCAATCTGAGGATTCTAATCAAGTATTTAACTGTTTATCAGAGTCCAAAACTGGCCTCTGAACAGAACATTTGAAATGGCTGAAAACAGCTTAAGCTTCCGATTCAGGTAATTCAAGTATTTGAGTGAACTAAGAGCCTTTATAAAAGTTCAAATCTAGTCCAAGATTAAACAAATGTCAGCCATTAGATAGCAATTATCTGAGACAGTTTCATGATAGACAATATGGCGATGCATAATAATTAGAATGGAAACACCATCTCATTCTGAGACAGATTAGTGATTGTTCTCACGGAATGAAAAAGGCTCTCTTTATGTAACATGGAACAGTTCACAGAAGATCCATGAGACACACAAGTAACATTTATGTTTCCTAAGTATATTCTAGTTAAGCCCAATTCAAAATAAGTGTTGAAAACGGATGCATCTTAGCACGCATTCTTTTGGACACACTGACTTATGGTGCTCACCGAATTCACGATTCATCCTAAAATATTATACTGTTATATTTAGGGTGGCTAAGATCCAACTGGCAAGCAAAACAACACTTTCCAGTAACTGGATTTCTTCTCCAACAGCTGAGCCATAAAGGATTCTAGTTTATGCCGATATTCATTTTTTACTTCCATGTATACTCTTTTCCAAAGAGCCTCTTCCTTCAACTTGGGTCTAAATAACAAAAACAAGTCCAAGAGAAGTATATTAAGACATTCTGACAGTTGACCCCTTTACTATAAAATTGGAGAATTTCTTGTAGCTCTCCTATAGATCAAGTTATGTTGTCTAACACAAGCGGAACATCATACCAACTGCTTGCAGGACTGCATCACATACTGAGAAATGGATGACGGATACTTACCTACTGAAAGGGAAAATTAGCATTTGAACAAAAATTTAAGAAGGTAGAGACTGGAAGCAGCAAAACAAGAAGCTGAGAAAGTACAGAGACCCAACACTAATACAAGGGCAGACCAGCAAGGAAAGAAGTGACAATCTGCATAATCATCGACTGGCAATCCCAGAATCCTTTCTGCAGAGTGACGACAATTCAATTTTCTTTGGGAGAAAATGGTTAATGGAATAAATTGGTAAGATTGGCTATATCAATGTCAATCTTTATTTGAAGACTCCAAGTACAGTACATTAATTATATATGTCAAATGAGTAGAAAAAGCCAAAAATGAACTGAAAGATTTCTCTGGGAAGATCCAAGGGGTTAGGATGACACTTTCAGAAGGGGTATGTTGTCCATTTCATGGATGCCGTCTTTATCAATGAACCGGACGCTGAAAGAAGGTAGGTTCAGGATGAAGCGTTTCTGAAGCTGTTTAATAGAGAGAGAAAGGGGAAAGATTTGTTCAAAAAAAAAAAAAATCTTTTCTGAGAGAGAGACACACTGTTACACGTTCCAAAAGTTTAAGTTTCTTCCCTTCAGTTTCTGTCCTGCTTTCATTTTGTTTCTTTGCCATCTCTGGACACCAAAACTAAGATATGCCTTTCATATTCCAGAACCCTTGACTGTGTCCTCCATAGAAGTCAATTTGGAAATTGGGAGGGTTTGAATAGTTACCTTAAAGAATTGCATGAATTTTACAAGTAGAAAGAAATCACACACAGCACCATTTTAAGCTTACTGACTTGCATAAGCAAACAAACATTTTATTCTGTTCGAGTTTTAATATTTACCTAAAATTCCTTTTCAACAAATCTGAAGTAGGACTAAGAATCTGAAAAAAGAGGCTGCACACCGCTGATGTAATATGTGTTAGATGAACTTGCCATTTCCAAATTTATCTTGATATACATCTTAAAGAATGTGTCTTAAACTAGTACCTAACAAGAGAACCACTCTGCTGAAAAATTAACTTGACTGTGTGCCAGGACTAAGTATTTACCAGGTCCCCACTGTACACACTGCTTGGGATATAAACGTCAGTCAATCGTGCATGAGATGCTGGAAGCATGGGCTCCCTTTCCCACAGTGCCTGTTATTTCAGCATGAATTCTCTGTTCTCTAAACAAGATTTTTAATTCCAGTGAAAGTGGAGAAGATGACAACCATTTTCTACCATTGCATTTAGATATAGCAGGCAAACATTTGAGAGGGGCTGAGCTCATTTGTTTATGATGTATTTACATGTGTAAACTTCCCCACCCAATATGCACCACATACGAGTTAAGGTCAGAGCTTTTTTTTAGGCAAATGCCGACATCACCTTCAGGGTAAAACACTTGCTGTTTGCACTTATTAGCTCATATTGGATGGTCAGTTTGATATACAGAGGATAACGCCACTTCATCTTATTTGAGTGTAGGACCCTTGATTATATAAAATAAATGTGGTATTGTTTGTTCTTTTTATCAGAATGAACTGCACTGAGTAAAGAGACTCTGCTGTCACGTTATTTTCTTTTGTTATTTGTATGTTTTCAATTTTTGTGTTAGGGTGCATCAATATAGTAAGCACTTGTGACATTTTTGTTTTTATTTTTTAGTAGTAGTGACAACTGGTGGTACTGTGGTAGGCTGACAGACCAGTGACTGAGACAAAGACAGAGGTCAAAATGTCAGCAGGTCCTGCTCCAAGTAGCACTGTCTGGTAATATAGTATCCCCCCCCCCATTTTCCAAGAGTATTTTTACTTTACAAATATTTAATGAGCAGACTGATTTCTATAAAAACAGGTTCTGCAGTTCTCAAGGTATATTCAAGGCAGGACCCTTCAAGGGTGGATTGATTTAAAACAAGGTGATTTAAGTCACAATTTAAATCACAAAATAAAGTCATTGATTTAAATCAAGTTACCAAATACAGGGGGTCCCCGCTATAAGTCACCCCGGTATACATCCGTTACACACTAAAGTCGTTGACGTTTGTAGGAACTGATGTGTTATAAGTCCTCCCATTCCCCGCTATAAGTCATGCAAAACACTCTCCCCCGCCCAATTTGCTTAAATGGAAGTCAGCCACAGGGGAAAAAAATTCCTTGCTTTAAGTTGTTTCACTATAAGTTCAAGTTTTTTGGAACATATCTTGGACTTCTAGCAAGGACTCCCTGTAAAGACAAGACTGTCTGTGCTTAGAGTGCATTTAATTTTGGTGTAAGCCCCATTGTACTCACTGGCACTTCTGTTTTTTGAGAAAACAAGTATAGAACGGGGTTCCCTTGGAAAAGGAGTTATACTGAAGTAAAATAGGGAATAGCACTTCTGGCATCACCGTTATGGTCTGTGGCCATGATATTCCAAAATAAGAGATTTGCGTTACACAACGTAAAATTCCAGGAGATACCACCACATAAGCACAGAACAAAAACAACCATCCTGTCTCTCTCTTTGCAAATATTACTTTTTAGTCCGCTGAGAAATTGAAAGCCCAGAGTTTTCAAGAAGCAAGAGCTAGTAGTTAGGGTAGACAGACTAGAGCAGGGATGAGGAACCTTTTTTGAGTTGGGGGCTGCTGACTCTCAGAAAAATCATTCGGGTATACACACAAATAAAAAAACCAACAACCCACAAACGCTCACTGATGTGGCCCCCGACTAAGGAGAAACACTCCCCACATTGCCCTTGCATACCACAGCCTAGATGGGCCCAAGCTGGTAGATTTTCTGTGGTCCAGCCCTACAGGTGGGTTCAATGGGAGAGACTGGGTCCCTAAGACTCAGGAGCTAGATCTAGGCAAGCCAGAGGCAGAATCCCAACCATGGGCCTTGGATTCTCCACCCCTGGAATAGAGCCGTTAATTCATTTTTACAAGATGGTAAGTGTAGGTGTAGAATGTTTGTGATGAGATTTAATTATAACTTTTAAAACAAGAAATTTAGTGTTTATTGATATTTTTAAAAAATTAAAAATATTTAAATAACGCAATCTAATTTTTTAAATAATATCTATTTTTATCCACCCTGGGACACCATGATTAATGCACATTTTCAAAGCACTTTTACAATGGCATACAAAATTAAGAAATTAGTTGAACTTTGCAGTTTTTGTTACATCTCAGGAACTATGAGCTCATCAGCACATGACAACAGCAAAGCTACTGTCTATTTATCAATCTACTGAGTTACCGTGCGAGACTATCCTTTCAACTCACTAGATGTAAGAGACATGTAATGGTCAGAGAACAAGACACCCTTTTTGGGGATAGGGTTGGGCAGCACTCAAAAGTAAATTTGCAACCTTACTCATTACCATAAATGCTTGTAAAGACTTCCGCAGCAGACTTCTCCCCAGTAAAACCAGTTCACCTCTAACCTCCAAGAAACAGTAGTACTGTTCTTCTAAAGAGTTATGGTGTGAAAAGGATATTTTTGCTATAATTGGAGGAGATCAACTGCTTCAATGCCAGAGGTCAAGTTACTATCTGACTTGATTATTCAACTTATGAACTAAGGAGAGAAAGTAGCTTAAAAAAGTGTAATAGAAAAATAAACTTACCACAAGCACAGGATAAGTATCAGAAGGTTAAAACATTTTAGGCAGAAACAACATAAAAAGACAAAGTCAAGGGCTGTCTACATCAATATTATGGTTAAGTATGGAAGGACCAGAAGTAAAGAAAAGCAATTAAGCTTAAAGTTTACATTCTGGAGGACATGAACCATACTAAGACAATGTAAGTACCCACAAATCCTTTTCCTCAGTAGCTGGTTCCACATCTGGCCAATGTATATTTATTACTCCTTCTGGCAAAGGCAGGAAAAAATGTGACAAAGGAACAGGAAAAATATCAGCAAATCAAGGCAAACAAACATTCCTTTCTCAAGATCACATAGGCCCAAGTCTTTGGTGACTCACCTCCTCTAGACATTTCTTTAGGAGCTCCACTGCCTCCTCGCGTGTGATACCTGAAAGAGAAAACACCCACAGATTGCTTTAGTTAAAGGCCATCTCTCTCAAGTCAATCTTTTTATTAAATTTAAACAACTTTTCAGCTGAGCACCAAAAAACTTCTCCGCAGTTCACAGAAAACACATTCCATATGTACTGAGGATGCCCTGCACTGAAGCATTCGCACTGCAACAAGCCATTGAGAATCGATTTGTTATACCAATGGGAAGCATGACGGAATTTTGCCTCCCATGGCCAGTGACTGGGCTTTGGAGAAGTCCAGCCGTCTCTCTCTTCTTGAGTTTATTATGGTTTTAAATCAGCTCCATCTGTCCACAGCCGGCTGCAAGTCAGTGAAAGTGGGCGGGGATTAGTTTTAGTGCTACGTTCCCTGCTGGGTATTAGTTTTAATAATGGGAAAGGCACGTGTGTGATGCCCCTGCTACTCACACGTTAGGATAAAAAAAAAAATCAGCATTCAGTGAGGATGGCAAACTGTGACAACATATTGTACTTAATTATTTTTCTTTTGGAAGGGGTGGGGAAAAAGAAGAAAGGCAGCATCGCTTCCAGGAGACACAAGTAATGAAAAAATTACAGAGATGGATGCTTAGCATGCATTCAACTTGATTCAAGTGCTTTTGTTCCTATCTCATGCCCGCTGCTCAGGTGGAATAAGTTTTAATTAGAGAAGAACTGCCAGATTCCTGATATATTGGTTGCAGGAAGAAGATAGAAATATTGCTAAAAGAAGGTCTCTGCTATGGCTTAGCAAACAGAGAGGCTTAGTTTGGATGTTATTAAAACACTGAGAGCTGCATATATACAAGGAATTATTACTACTGTTTAGTGTCTACATCAGAAGAGGCCATCACAGTTTGGTCTCTGGCAGTGGGAAGAGGAAGCAGCTCTGTGCAATTTCGCTCCCTCTCCCCCAAAGCCGGGGGAACGGCAACACAGCGCTTCTCTGGAGGCTTTTCCCCCACTGACCCTATAGCAGTAAGGAGTGGTGCCTGGGGGAGGCAGGGACTTGGGAGCCATTTGTGCCTGTGAGAGTGGGGTGCCAGATAAGTGCCTCATCTCCACCCCCCTTCATGCACCTTCCTTCCCCGATCTCACCCCAGCACCCTTTAGGATCCACAAAAATTCGTTAAACCAGAATACCTTATTTTTCAGGATCACCAAATGAAAGAGGTTCAAGTGTATTAGATTATGATAGTCAAGAACTAACAGGTTAGTAATTAAAATTAAACCACTTCCTTACTTTAAAACGGGGCGGAAAAAGTCTAGTTTCACTGCAGCCTCCATTTTTACTGAACAACTTTGTCTATAGATTTTTAGATCTTTATTCCTCAATATCTAATTTCTGTGCCTACCACAGCATCAGAACTGGGCAGGAGTGAGTCAACAATTCACAAATTCAAAATTTCTCCTTATTAAGCCTTTGTTTTACTAGTTGGTAGAAGGAGAATTGTTTCTTTGCCACAAGTTTCATACTTACTTGGCTTGTAATAGCGGTCAAGGATACTCAGGGTTAGGAATGCACCATATCCATGTGCTGCAAAGGGAGCTTTAGCTAGGGCTGCAAGGTAATCCATATAATAAAGCGCAGGGCCTTCATGCTCATCATAGCCAGCCAGAAGTAGATTGACATGGTAAGGGGTCTGCAAGCAAAAATATAGAGTATTGATTAATGCAGCAATACTAACCAGCCTCCTCTACTGTCCCCCAGAATGTGTAGAGAATGGTAATCCAGCCCATTTCAACATGCTCCTTTGGAAACAAAGTGTTCCTAACAATTGTACAAACGACTACTGAGGAAAGTATTTGTATTAAAAATCCTTAAATGGCTCGAGTTTTGCTGTTGTGGGGAAGCAAACTTCTTTGCTCACTGTATTCCTCCAAGTCGTGTAAGACACTTTCCCTTCAATCTGTTCCTTAGAATCCTTTCACAGTGTTTCACTTTTATGGGGACAAAACAATTAAAACACTTTCGCATCACACTCTCTCAACTAAATGCTGCGATTTTTTACTGTCAGCATACAATCACAACGTGGACTTTTTTGGCCGGTACAAAGTTCCTGTTAATTTAATATGCTGTTTGTTTAGTTACACTAAATTAATTACACAGCATTTTAAGCCAGTATGAAAACAGAACATGGTGTGAACAGTTTTATATATATAATGTTACATTGTAACATTAACTGCCAATTAGACTTTTATTCCATGTACCAAGTTAAACCTCTATGACCTTACTTTCAATTTGCTTCCATTTAGATTTCAGAACCTGGCCCACTTCCTCTTTATCACAAGATCAAGATAATCAAAGTTTCTTCCCATCCTTATCACAGACATTTTTCATATTTTTGTCTTTTAGGTTTCAGAAATAGTTTGACAGATGCAGAGAATTAAGCGTTAGCCTGCTCCAGTTTAATTCTTTCCTCCCTATTCTTGTTTAAGACTTTAAAAGCAATCCATTAAATAAAGATGTTTTCATGTTTATTCTTTAGCCAAGACAGACCACCCAGTTCCACTAATACAACCATGTCTTTTACTGGATTATAAATACAGATCTAGTAATTCTACAAAGCCCCAGGAGTTTGCATAATGTTTTATACGGGTTATCATTTTCTTTAAAACCTCATGTATTCTTATTGCATTTTCCACAGTGGGGAAGTGGTTGTGTAAACACATAGCTATAGATATACCAAACACATGTGAACACATTATAAATGATTTCATAGTGCATATACACACACAAGATTACCAATTGGTGATGCATAGGCTCATACAAGGACTACATGGAATCACCATATGCTTGCTTAACACTTTTATACTTTTAGTAGTTCCATACTGATTTCAGTACTTGGCATCAATAAGAAACTGACACTACACATAGTGTGTTCATTAGATTTTCAGAAAATTTAAATCAACACCAGCCAGCCAGAATAGGGATGAACAACATCTACTACTAGTGCCAGAGAGCAAAATCATTTTGAAAATCTGGGATATGTGTAGCCGGTTAGAGCTTGTTTCTTACATAATTGAGAATGTAAAGTAAAAAAGATTAAATTTTTAGGAGCAAAACTTATTTCCATCACTGTTCTACCGAGGCTATTACCTGGAGTTATTCTGATTCCTTCTATGAGACGTTATTAAACAGCTTTAAGCAAAATAATAGGATAAAGGTATTAAATAATGGGGTTAACATTAAGTTGAGACCACAAAATCATGATAGTAAAGAACATCACTTGATGCAAGTACAGGCTGAACCTCTGTAGTCTGGCACCCTCAGGACCTGACTAGCGCTGAATCAGGGAATCTGCCAAATCGTGGGAGGTCAATATTGTCTAGCATCATTACCAACACTTCCACTGCTTACCAGGCTCTTAGAAGACATTTAGGGGTAAATTAGAGCTAAGTAACAGCACAGAACATTCACAGAAAGGACTAATGGCTATAAAACTACATGGAACCACGGTAAAATGGACATCTGGCTAACTAAAATAATGCCAGACCACAGATGTTGCCATACCAGAGAGTGCCAGACTAGAGAGGTTCAAACTATATTAGACAGAACTTTGAGTTAAAATATTTTTAAATGGAATTAGAGTGCTATAGTTTGAATACTCTTCTCACAAAAGGAGGACAGATTGATTAGCTTTCCCATTTCATGAACCATATACTTATAAAACAAAAATTAATTCACTCAATGTTTTTGGACACAAAAGCAATTTAGTGAAATATACACATTTTAAGGGTTAGTCTCATGCTTAACAGGCCCAGCTGCAACCAAATACTGTAGTACACCATATGAGTCTTATTGGTTTCTACTTTCATCAGAAAAAATAAGGACAGAAAGCAAAATGACAGTCTCATTTACATCCAAAATATAAATTTATAAACCAAGACTGTTTCAATCATTCCAGAATCAAGTTGCTATACAAACGTATTAGTTCAATGAGCCTATGTATTATCATTTATTTATGCTTAAACATCTCATGCACATCAAAGTTGGCATTTAAAAGCCATGACACGCAGCACAGAAGATAACTCACAAATTATTGTGCTACTTCGAATTACCAACTTTTGCATGTGTGAGAAGCTGAAGCATAAATAAGTGGTGTCACAGACTAATTAAATCAATGCAGCTGTGTAACAACTTGCAGTTTCTAAAATTCTTCTGCAGAAGCCCAATGAAACATCTTTTGCTTGTTTTTTTTTTAAATTTCAAATGTAAATAAATCTTAGACTCTCTCACTACTAGAGGACAGTGAGGCCCAAATATTAGATAATTATTTTCACACTGTATTTATGATTTCTGTATTCTTTCTAACTGATTTTAACACTGAAACTTACAAAGAAATGCAGTATTAAAAGGGCATTTTCATACATCATGTTGGGGAGTAAAATTCATGTTTTCCAAGGAAGAGCTCTCTCTTCAAGCAACATCTTTTTCTGATATCTAAACTCACCATTGCTTCCCACTGCAGTGTCCACAACATTTATTTAACTGCTAGAATTTCCAGTATGTCATGATCTTGTTTCAAGTGTAGCAGTTCAGGACTTGGATGTGAAGTCCTAGCAAAGCTATATTTTGGAAAGTGGCACTCTAATGGGGAACTGTTCTGTTAAAACCACTTCACTGACTTGTAAATATACCTATTTTCATATGTGAATGTTTAAAGAGTTTAAATTGCTTAACTTAAAAACACTGGACGACAAGTAAATACCAAACTCCATATGTGTTGAATGACACGCTCCTGACCAATCAGCCCACAATACTAAAATCAAATCTGTTCCCCCCCAATTATACTGCAAAAATCATGCAAAATACAAGCCTTTCAATACCCACTAGCTGATACTCCCATTTGCCAGACACAGTTGCCAAACAAATAAAACCAAATCTTACAAATTATCATCTCAAATAGTTTTTACCCCTAAAAGGGAGGAGGATCTAGAGACGCCAGAAGTCCAGTAGGAACTTTACATTTTCTATGGCCAGGTCTACATCGCAGCTGAAAGCTGGCTTACGATACACAATTCCAGCTACATTTTTTACGTAGCTGGAATCAACGTACCTAAAACCTAGCTTTGGCACTGTCCCCACTGTGGAAGGTAGAGAGGAGAAATGCTCCCATTGACTTCCCTTACTCCTTGTGAGGAGTAGCAGTCCCGGCATCAATTGGGGCACACTCGGCATTTGACTTAGCAGGTCTTTACTAGACCTGCTAAATCAAATGGAGGAAGATTGATTTTCTCCATAGTCTAGATGTGATCTACGTAAAAATTAAGATCACAGTATGACGACAGGCAGCAATACAAATCCCTAAGAAAACCTACTTATAAGCATTAATGTTATGCTTTATAAAGACACTTGTTCTAATCTTTTAAACCTTTCTATGCAACTGATCATCATGGCACCTTAACATAGATCAGCAACATCTTTGCTAGTCCAGCACTTGGGTCCCAACTCTTCTATGCCTGGTCTCTCAACTCAGTGGTTTGAAACAGAAAAGTGCCAAGTCAGATATTTGTTAAATACTCTCTATATTGAACTTTAGTGGCAGAATGTTTATCAATTTCAAACGAGGCATGGGATTTAGTTGCTAATTAACATGAGCAAGATTTCTGAACTTGAATGTTACTGTGATTACAAAGGTTTAACGTGAGAAATGATGGGCTAACACTTTTGGGACTGAGGAAAAACAATGCATTTTTTTTTGTGTCTCAAGAAAATGCAAGCTTTCCCTTCAGTTAAAGGAAATATTTTTCATCGCTATCTAGCTTTGCACTCTATGCCGTTGGATTTAAAATAACTGCAGTGATTAAGAAGAGCGTGAAATTCTTCAGAATTTACAGCTGAAGAGAACAGTTGTGAGAAATACATTGAAACAACAAGATCAGCGATGGGAGGCTGGGCGGTGACAAGCAGCGGTGTGACATCTGGCGGAAACCAAAGTCACAGCAAGGGGGAGAGAGAGGTGGGCGTGAGGAAGCATCCTGCCAAGCGTGGACAGCAAGAGAGGAATTGACAATCTTCCTTTGGACTAAGGCCAGACCCTGCCACCTATAATTACACATAACATCACAACGAGAAGCTGCAGTTTAGATTTTTTTTTTAAAGTTATTTTAAATGATGTGCAGCAACTTAATATGTTAAACATTCCAAACTTGGCACTGGCATTCCCAGCAGGTAAGTCATCTGGGAGGTTGAGGAAGGCAGTGGGTTGAGAAAGGTAACACCAAATTCTTTCTGCCCCATGTTGATTTGTACTGCAGCAGCCATACAGGAACCGACAAAAGGTCTTTTCAGAGACTCAAAAATACATCAAACATGGATAATGGTAAAATGGGTTCTTATCTGTGAAGGTGAATACCCAGTGTGAGGAGCACAGCATATCAGAAGTGATCAATCAGAATTAAACACCTTCTTATCAGTACAGTGCTGATAGTTCAGCCTTGGAGACACTTGCTATAGAGTCCTTTACACCTCCCTAACAGCGTAAAGGGGCCCTAATGTGAGCGAACACTGGCAGAATAGTGTTAAAGGTCCTTTCCATAAATGAAAATCAGGTTCTAGGACTCCAATGGACAGTGTGAATTCTACTCTGAGCTTAGGCAGGGTTCCACCAGAAATAAATCATGGTCCCCCACGTCCTAT